TTGAAATCACTATTCACGCCGGAAAAATAAAAAAATGGTCGGAATTTGGTGTAACCTGGATGGATAGGCTCTAAATTGCAAGGGAAACAATCTGTCCTGAAGAGTCATCGCCAAAAAATGGTCGGAAGGTGGCCCACGCAACGTTGGAACTTCGCCGGAAAATTTTCTTTGGACAGCTACAGTACCGCCGGAGATTTTCACTGGGATTTGGTTGCCGGACAGTGACTACTCTTGTGGTAGTGTTGGATTTTGTGCACAACACTGACCGAGACAAAGCAGACGCAAAACAACTTTGAAAGTCGCCAGAAAAAAAAGGGTTCCGGTGACTGATTTTACTTTCCGGAATCGCTGGAATTTATGCACAGCGATAAATCTCTCACGATAGCTCTGATACCATGTGAGAAGGCACGGGAGAAAATATGATATATTGATATTGTATGTGATGCAATACAAGAGGTGCTATTTATAGCTACTCTATACAAAGGGGATACTACTCCTATTCCAATGTGGGACAATTACATAGCTATCTCTAACAGTGGTTACTTGGAGAAGCAAGAAGCAAAGTGTAGTTGCTAGATCAAGTGCGGAGGCAGAATATAGAGTTATGGCCCAGGGTGTTTGCGAACTGTTTTGGCTACAAAAGCTACTACAGGAATTGAGACAATATGAAAAAGGAAAACTTTCCTTGTACTGTGACAATAAAGCTGCCATCAGTATAACTCATAATCCAGTCCAGCATGACCGAACAAAGCATGTGGAAATTGATCGACACTTCATCAAAGAAAAAGTTACAACTGGTGTCTTGAGTTTGTTTCATGTGCCATCGGAAAAACAGCTAGCTGATGTGTTTACCAAAGGTCTCAACAAGCGAACTTTCCATACTTTGAGTTGCAAGTTGGGCATGTGCGACATCTTTGCACCAACTTGAGGGGGAGTGTTGATTGGCATGATTCAAGGAGACTTGATTTAGGAGTGTTAATTAGCATGATTTCAGGAGATTTGATTATATTTAGGAGATCTAATTAGCATTAGGAGCTTTGTACAAATTTCTTTGTTCATGGGATGTAAACATACACAGAAATACAAGAAGACTTTTCTTCTTCTCAAAATCTACATTATTACCAATTGTTCTTGTGCCGAGGGTCTATGGGGAACAACCTCTCTACCTTCTCAAGGTAGGGGTAAGGTCCGCGTACACACTACCCTCACATACCCCACTTGTGGGATTACAATGGGTATGTTGTTGTTGCTATCGTCTTTTACAATTATCTTTACTCTTGACATATCAGTCATTTTGCAATTGACACCACTAGAACCTCCCAAATGTTCACCCACTTTTTAGAAATACTTAATGCCAAGAAGGATTGGCATTTCGACGAAATTCACTACCAGATCTCCCCCATTTTTGCTACACCCTGTTCCCACTGTCCCATCTGTCAAGAATTAAGAAGGTCCCTCCCATCCGCCTCTGTACCTCTTGACAAACCCTTGAGGCTTTTGATTCAGAGGATTGGCGTTTTCGGCAATATTCACTTCCAGCATCTTGGGATGGCTCTTCATAAGACGTTTGGGCTGAGCAGTGGTACTGAGATTGCAATATAGACTTTGGAATCTGAGGTGGAGCCTTTTTACCATTCTCTCACCTGATGCTCAGACAGGTTCCTCCATCGTTACAACTCAAACAACAGAAAACTTTAAGTTCCTACAGAGAAATCATTATCTCTACATGCCGTCTGTAAGTTCATCAGAGAATCGAAGGTTTACCTCTTGTTGAGTCTCTGGGAGTTCCAGAGAGGAGACATTCTATTTCTAAATCTGGCATATAACATTATCTTCCCAATAATTTATTATTTAGAGCTTTGAAGGTTCTCCTCTTTTAAATAACTAAATCTCTAATTATATGGATTAATTAAAACATGTTATATACATTATAACCAAATTTTTAAGAGGAATTTAATGACAGATGTGTCGGGTGAGCAAGAAAAGTAATCCAATGCGTAAAACGTGTACACCATGTCTTTGGGGCATAAGGGACTCTAATTGTACTAGTAAAGCATGAATAAGATAAATGCATCAGCTACTGAAATATTGATCCCATAAAACTAAAATTCCCATAACCACTCCGCAATGTTATGAAAGTGCCTCTCCTCGTGACTCGAGTCCCAAATTTGTGCTTTAAACATTGATGTCATTCATATGTGACTAGACTAGAAGTATTGGTTACTGGACAAAGTTTGTAGAAGACCTGTTTTGCGTCATCTCTGAATTTCTCTTTGCCAACAGCGAACCCAAGATAGCTTATGGAGTATATTGCTCTGGCCCGACCTAATACATTAAAGTTTCTGTTTGCCATGGCGGTTTTTAAGTACTGCATAACAGTGTCATAGTTTATTCTGCAGTATTCCTGTTAAAGTATAATATATTACATCCTTATCCTTAAAATAAATAGAAATAGGATTAAGTAAAAAAAAAAACTATCCTTAATAAATCTAGGTAATACCTTAGACAATTTAGCTATACCAGTAAACACCATTGATGCTGCATCTTGGACCATTTGTTTGTCATTCTGAATTTCAAATAGCAGAAATCAAGAAAATACACCATCAGTCTATTGCACTTGTCAGCATAAGATACTTTTATAATATGGTGGGCTCTATATTTGCACACCTGTTGAAATACAGACAGATTGTTAATCATTCCATCGAAGAAAGGTATCAAAGTTTCTGGCTTAGAGGATGTATAGAACCTGTAGAAAGCAACCGAGGCTTGTACCTTCCAAGAGAAAGTGAATAGAGCATTAAGACGCGTTTGAACCAGATCTTTCAGCTATGACATTTTCAAACTCTAATTAATACTAATCTTGGCATTTTCACACGTGTTGTTGATTAAGAGAAAAGATCATTACTTCCTCACTAGTCTCTTATATCAAAGTTGGTCCACTTTCTTTTAACCAACAGCAAGATAGCCCTCAAGGTAGCAACAATAACAACAACAACAACAACCCAGTATAATCCCACAAGTGGAGTCTGAGGAGGGTAGTGTGTACGCAGACCTTACCCCTACCCTGGGGTAGAGAGGCTGTTTCCGAATAGACCCTCGACACAAGAATATGAAATGCGACAATAGAATAGTAACAACAACATAACCAGAAAGATAGTACCATGCAGTGACAAGGTCTTAGAAAATAGTACGAGCACAACATGTACCACTGGCATACTAAAACACGACACTGGCCGACTAGACTTACACACAGAACGGAGTAGAAAAACGTTCAATTACCTGCTAACCTTCAACCTTAATGTTCTCCCTCCATACCTTCCTAACAAGGGTCATGTCCTCGGTGAACTGAAGTTGCGTCATGTCCTGCCTGATCACCTCTCCCCAATACCTCTTTGGTCGCCCTCTACCTATCCTCATACATGTCAGAGCCAACCACTCGCACCTCCTAACCGGGGCATCTACCTCTCCTCTGCACGTGCCCGAACCATCTAAGTCTTACTTCCCGTATTTTGTCTTCCATGTGAGCCACACTCAACCTTGCTCGAATATCTTCATTCCTAATCTTATCCAACCTCGTGTGCCCGCACATTCATCTCAATATCCTCATTTCTGCTACTCTCATATTTTGGATATGGGCAATTTTAATTGGCCAACATTCTGACTCATACAACATGGCTAGTCTAACCACCGCTCTGTAAAACCTGCCTTTAAGTTTCGGGGGGCACCTTCTTGTCACACAAAATGCCAGATGCTAACCTCTATTTCATCCAACAGCAAGATAGCCCTCAAGGTAAGCAAGATGAATTAATAAAATCAAATTTTCCAGCAGCACCCTACTAAGCCTATAAGTTAGGTAACTAACAAGTATTAATTTTTTCAAGATTCTGGAGGGCAAGTTTCAGAAACATTAAACGCTTGTGATACTAGAACTCATGCCCTATCGAGCATGTTATCCCATTTTGAAATTGGTTTATTCTGCAGCAGAATTTCTCTCACATTACAGAAAAGCACAAATGACCGTTGACCACATATCAAGAACAAGTACAATGCAGATACATATAGCCAAAAGATTTAGCAAAGTATCCAGAAAATTACATCAAGACCACAAGATCTAAAGCATAACGCATTAGGACGAGTGGTCTGGTATAGAGCCAAATCTCGTACATACAATTAAAGCAGGGCGGTAGTTACCTTTAGTGAGGGAGTTCAATTGAATCCCCTTTGTTGGAAAATCTTTGCGCGAAAAAGATGAAAACAAACTTTTGTATAAATATAAATTGTTGAATCCCCTTGACAGAATTAAAACTTAGTTTTGAAATTTTAACATTTTTCTATATCCCCTTGCCGCTGCACTAAAGATGTTATTTAAATTATGTCTTAATCCCATGATTCTCGTCAGTCAAACATGCTAGAGTAACAAAGTAAATTTATCAATTATTTTCACTGGTGGACAACAACAAAATCTCAAAAATCAAACAGGGAGTAAACCTATACAAAGTTAGAGATGTTCAACTGTATGATTTATGTAATGCCATTGTAAAAGTGCACTAGATAGAATTTTTGCCGATTGTTTGCAAAATTGTTCCCTGTATGAATGATAATTGAAATTGCATTTGGGAAATTGCAGCATCAGTAGAGGGTTCATATCAGCATAGGACAAAACCTGTATTATTGGATTTTGAAAATCTGCCATAGCTGCAGCTAATGTAGGTAATACTTGATCATGGAATTGTTCTTGCAGCTGTGGACAGAAGAAGGTCGAAAACAAGGCAATTGCCCTAATAGCGGCCCATCTTACTCGAGGGTGAGGATCATGGAAACAATTCAGAACCATGTTCAGGAAACAATTCAGAACCAGTTCCTCCATACTCGTAAGCATCACCTATAATAGCAAAAAGGACATTGGTTCAAACTTCAACCTAGCTAACCCCCCCCCCCCCGGGGGGGGGGAGTGAGAGAGAGAGAAGACCATAAAAGATAAACCCGGCCAATAAAACATATTGCAAGGCATTTGGATTGAGAATAGAGGCATGTGGGGAAAAGTATCTTTGTATGCAAATTATAGTAGCTGGTTCGCCAGCAAAAGCACCTCTTAAATGCTACCATTCCGTCCCAGAGTTTAGGAGACGAAGGACTTAAAAGATTTCAGTGTAAATTAGATTGAGTTTCTTAATTCTTTTGACATAAAAGTTATATTCTTAGAAATTAGACAAATTTTCTGTAAAATAATATCTTCTAATTAAAAATAATTATAAATCATAGCCTGAGGGAAACAAAATAAAAAATATAGACTCCTAAAGACTACAGAGGGCATGTCCAAATAGTATGCATAAAGATCAAACTAACGCCGTAGGAACAAATAAACAACTAAGAATGGAGTAATATAGATTCTATCATTTGTACCTTCGGGCAACATTCAGAAATAACAGCAAGTGCAAGAAGTGCTGCATGGCGTTTCTCCCAGTCGGGGGCAGCCAAGCAAGCAGAGAGCTGCTCTTTAGCAACAGGAGCAATAGTCTTAGCACCTAATGCACGAGATAGGCGATCGAAATAGCAGATCCCAACCATAATGTTACCATATTCCCAAAATGCAACCTTGTGGATATTGTTCCAAGGTGGTTCGTCCTCAACATCTTGTAACAACTTCAATAACATAGCAAAACAGTTGCTAGTAAATAATGGTAATTTCTTCATCATGCCGGGAGCTTCCTTTTTCGCCTCAACCAAAGTTATCAGAAACTTAATCGTCAAGTGCCTCGTCTCCTTTTCCAAACTCTCATTCTCTGCTATCTCAAACATGGTAGCCACCACTTCTACTAGTTGCATCCTTAAGAACCTAGGTTCATTCTCAGCAAACTCAACAAAATGTTCCAGCGCTTCCCTGGCAGTAACCTCCTCACCTTTGTTCAATGCTTCTGTCAAGGTCCCCAACAAAGCTGGCAATAAACCCTGATACCAGTCTTTATCGTTTGAACTCGGGAGGCACTGAATGATGTCGATCGCTGCCCTCAGGGCAGCCATCCTCAATCTCATATCACTGCAACCATTCAGTGCACCTAGTAATATATCCTTGATCCAAGGGGCTGATGATAAGTCCTCTCCTTGTTTGGCGCACTGGGAAACTAATGACAAAGCGGGCTCTATTACCTTGATATAAATGGAGCTGTCATAATATTGGTTGAACAAGCTACGTACTTCAGACTCCTTGTTATCTTGGAGGCTTACACAAAGCGTAATATAAAGGTTCTGGATAATGGATTTTGATTCTTCAATCTTGATACGGTTCAGAAGGATACATTGCACACTGGACCGAGTCGATAGACTTAGATTGCGCCAACCATATCCATCATCCCCAAAAAACAAATTTTGGAGGACGATAGCACACTTAGCGCGTGAATCATCAGTGATATGGGGAGAGTCAAGAAGGTTAGCAAGCTTAACAGCAAGCAAGTTAGAATTCTCCTGCTTGATCATGTCCAACATTAACTCAGCCTCAGAGGAGCTCGACATGAGATCCGAGATAAAGGTTTCAAAATGAACACTAGAGTCAGACCCAAGAATCGCCTCCATCTGGGCCCTCTGGAACTGAGTCAACTCGCTAATATCCATTACTGTACTGAGAGAGTGGACTATGGAGTTGTGACTTGTGACAGAACTGAATTATACACAAAATCGAATGAGGCTCCTTCCAGAGGAGGATCTCTCCAGTTCCTTCAGTTGGTCACTGAATTTTCTTAACAGTAGCTTTTAACAAGGGTTAATTCCTGTCTCTAAATTCACTCTAAAAACAAAAATAACAAAGTTGAAGCATGAATCTCTTACATATATATAAACAAACAAAGGACAATTTCATAAAAAGAAAGAGAATGATCTCAGATAGAAGATTTCACTAATGAATAGAAAAAGTAAGAAGCAAATCAAAAAATAGTGAATTTCATCGGAAACCCCAAGTTTGCATTCACCATTTTTATTCTCTTCTTCCCGATGCCAAGTTCGGGTGCTTGATGTAGGTGTAGAATTTTCTAATTGTATTACAATTCTTGATTTTCCATTTTGTTATTCATACATTTGCAATTAATGAAATGAAAAGCCCTTACAGCTGTGGAGAAATCCCAAGTTGAGAATTTTAATACTTCTCTTTGACTTGCCTTATTACTTTGGAGCCAAGAAAACAAAAGGTCAGAGCTTCAAAATAGTTGACTGTTGTCTTCTCTTCGTCTTAGCCGTAATGCTGTATTCTGGCCCGGGCCCGGGCCTTAGTGGGCCTAACAGGCCGGGCTTCGTGGGCCTGGGCTCTGGCGGTCCCGGGCATGGCGGTCCCGGTCTTCGTGGGTTCAATGGGTGGAACCGGCCCGTGACGGGCCTAAGCCCACATAGTCCTGTGCTTAACGGGCCGGGATCGTGGGCCTAGCGGGATTTTTACCTATTTATACCATATATCAAACCTTATTACCAAAAATATTCATAATTTGTTATTTACCCGTGTAGTCCACACTTTTATTACAAATTATATACCAATCCAAAAATAGGTAGATTTTGCCATAAAAAACGCGCTAAATGAAGGCACCAGATCTGCGTGTGATTCTGTCAACATTAAATTCGAATTTTGAAACGGAAGGAGATTTCATTGTTGCGTAATTCTCTCCTTCCTCAACGGAAAGAGATCTCTCTTCTCTCACTCAACTACAATTCTCAAAAAACGCAAGCTACTGAAGCTCTAGTAATCAAACGGAAAAGAGACTTCTGTTCTTCATCTTCATCTTCATCTGTTCTTCCATATATTTTCCATCATTGATAGCCATTAAAAAGCTTGAAAGCTTTGAATTCAAATTTGGGTTTTCAAAAATCATTATTTGTTTGGATTGGGTGTTGTTGTAAATAAT